TTTTTCGTGAATCTTCTCTTCTCCCCTATTTTCTTTCTTTCCCCCCCTCTTTCTTCTAACATTCACGCCAATTTTCTTTATCCTTTTTTAACATCCCTGCTTTAACACTTTTTTTTCGCATTTTTTTATGTCTTTGAAGTGCCTACATTCTTTGTGCCTTGTCTTTTACGTTCACGAATTATTTCCCCCTACGCTTCTCTCGTATTTATTTTCTTAATGGTTTTTTCAGTCTCCTTTACGCCTTTATCTCACCTTCTTTTACACCTGCTTCACATCTACTTCTTTAAAGGATTCTATATATTTATTTCTTTTATGTTTCCTTCTTCTACCCCCTGATTCTATATGTTTATCCCCCCCTTTGACCTTTGCGATCTTTTTATACCGTCTTTATCGCAGCTTCTTCGCATTTCTTTGCGAGTCTTTCCTTCGCACCATACCTTTTCTTTACTTCCATTTCTTTCACTTCTCCGCGTCCCTTTATTTTTTAACATCTCCCTGGTAACTCTTCCTTTAGCTTCGCGCTTTCTTGATTTCTTCGAAATTTCTTGAGGACCGTCACTCCTGTGCCTGATTTCATAACGCCTCATTCGTGCCCCTTTACACTTTCTCTTCGCCTTTTCTTCAGTCCACCTTCACGTCCTCTTAAAACTTCTTACATAATTCCTCCTCCTTTTAAGTTTCCTCTTCGCCTCGTTTCGTGTCTCCTAACATCCCTGCTTCGTGATTTTCTTCGTGCTTCCTTCATGCCTCCCTCGTTCAAACTATTTTTATTTTAACGCCCTTTGTTAGGGGCATCTCCTCTCCGCTTTCTTCTGCGTCCTCCCTCAACGATCCCTGACGTTTCGTCTCTTTCATTCATTGCTTTTTCCTTCGCGCCTCAAAATCTTTATTGTCGCCTCTTTTACACATACATTATTCTTGTTTCGCTCTACTTTACTCCTTTTATTGCGTTTTCTTCAAACTCAGGCGTTCTTTATATTATCTTCTTTCTTCTGCAAGTATATCTACTCTTCTTCGCCCCACCTTCACACAGCTTTAATACCATCCTTATCAAACTACTTTCGTGCCCAAACTTTCTTGATTCTTTTGTTTACTTAATTTATTTTCTATCTACCTTTCAAATTCTCGACAACTTCCTTTAATCTTCGCCCCTCTTTTATGCCTTTTTCTTTGTGCTTTATTCAAACCTCATTGCAGCTATCTTTATATAATCTTCATACTACTTTCGTGCTTTCTTCAATATCTGCCTGCTGCTCCTTTACATCTCCTTTATTTAAATATCGTTTACGCCTTCTCCCTTTACGTCGTCTTTCTTTACGCTTTCCACATACACTTTTCTTCACTCCATCTTCACGTCTTCTTCAAACTTTCTTTTCTACAACTAATTCCTTTAAACCTTTTAATTTTCGTTTTCTTCGCCCTTTCTTTATCATTTCATCATTTGCGCTATCCTTACACGTTTTTCACGACATGCACTGTTCTTCATAAAAGCCCCTTCACGTTTTATTCGTAACACGTCTCATCCACTACGGTTTCGCGCCTTCTATCTCTTTTCTTCTTTGCTTCTTTTCTTCACATTTCTTTCGTTTATACTTCCTTTACACTTTGTTTCATGCATCTCCGATACCTATTTTGTCGCATAGTTCCTTAACCCTCCTAGCCTGTTCACCTCCTTCTTTCTATACTCATTGATGCTTTTTAACGCCTTCGTTCTTTACTCACTTAATTTTTCTCTCTTCTCTCTCACATTTTCATTCAGACACCCTCACGATGTCCTTACATTTTCTGCAGGGGTTCGTAGTCTCTTCACTCTCTTCATTTTTTTTCGAGAACCTTCTCTCCTTGGTCTTCCGTTTCTTCATTCTTTCTTCGAACGTATTCGCGCCGCTTTTCTTTATCTCTGTTTAACACCCATGCCTTAACACTTTTTTTCTTGGAGTTTTTTATGGCGTCTTTGATAATCTTTGTGTCATTATTTATTTATTTATTATCCCTCTCTTGTTCTGGGCCCTCAACAGGCTTACTCCCAATTACAGAGTGACCCGCATAATGCATTTTAGAGGTGCCTCTGCAGAAGGTCTTAAGTTGTTCTATACTACTCCGGGATTTTCCTTATGAATTAGGAAAACAGAAGGGAAACCTAATTCGGAGTAACCGGTAGAATGCTCGAAACTGGTCTAAGGTAATTCTCATCTCTGCTACAGATGAAAAATTCACATCAACCCAGGTTCGAACACCCGACCTCCGGATTTATAGCCCAACGCTCTACCACTGAACAATAAAGCCGGTCATATTTTACACCATCTTCAGCTCTTTCACGTTCACGGATATTTTCTTCGTGCTTGTTTCAGTCCCCTTTCAAGGTACAACAGTTCTCAAAAATATGTGCGAAGACAATTAGTGTGCATTAAATGTATATAAAAAATGGTATTTAGACAAAATAAATCCATATGGCCCATCCGTGTAACAGAAATTCATTTCAGAGGCTTTTTTTTGGAAAAGCTGCTGATCACGTCATAAAGAGGAATTAAGTCGCAGTATGTTTGCTATCAGAAATTTTTTCTTCGCGCCAAGATATACGAGCGCGTAAAAAAACGGTGGGACAAATTAAGTACACTTAATATATTTTGCGCAACGTAAAAGTCGGAAATCTCCATAAGTAATTCAAATAAATTCTGATTTACGGGCGAGTATATAAATCCGAAAGAATAATTTCTGAGGTTTTCCTGTTACAAGCGGCAAGAAATTTATAAAGCGCCATTAAGCGCGCGCGCGTTCAAAATTCAACACTGTAACTCATTTTTGTTGTATGCTTTTGTTTCTAATATGTTAGTCTCCGTTTAACATACCCCTTCGGTTATATTCTTGCAATAAATTTCAGAGGACACTTTCGCCGTTCCACTTGCATTGAAATCAACGGGTTTTGTTGTGCAATAAACTAGCGCTGATAAAGGACAAGGATGGAGATCGTAAATACCGGATGACGTGTTGCGAAAATATGGTTATTGAGTATAGGTTGTATGTTATCGTGTGTATGGAATTTGTAATGTAGAACCTAGTGTTAATTTACACGGCCTTATTAAATACTATATTACGTTTTGATACTACCTTGTGGTAGCTTAGAAAAATCGCGTAATTTATGAGTCTAAAGTAAATTAATTCCGAGCATATTAGAGACGTTTTAGCCAATTATTTGCTCTATGGATGCATTAATGGCTCAAATTTACGATGCTCTACCGCTTTTAATAGTTACTTGATTTTTTATTATTGTTAGCAGCAAAACCCCTTCGGTCGATAGTGTTGTTCGCAATTATTGCCCGTATTTACTTTGGCCTGGCGCGTTTTTTCTTTCTCTTTTTACAAACGAGCGAAACGTTAAACGTTTAAAATGAAAATTAGTACTTCCTTTTATGACATGCTTAATGTACGCATAAATTAGGACGTGCTCACACAAAAGAGTGGAACAAATGACGATTGGGCGCAAAAGAATATTCCATTCTAGAATACTTCAATAGTTTTAGGGTATGCCTTTTGGACTTAGCAACAATCCAGCTGAGCGTTTTTTTCTAATTCCAAAAGAAGATGCATATCCATTGCTACACATATTTGTGCTTTTAGATTAATTAAGTTTCTTAAAATGCCAATACTACGCGTAATGCTCACAATACAATTAGTTATCACCGAGACTACCACTGCTATGTATAACGGAAAGAAGGTTTTCGAAGATTGTTTCGATGGAAGTTTTTAGTAAAAGTCCTAAAGCGATTACGAAATATATTTCTACGAATTCTAATAAGTTTCAAAACAAGCACTTTTATACTATTAGCAACGTTCGAGTCAGAATCTTTGCCTTTACCGCAACTTGGTAAGGGCGTGAATCATCTTGTCTGATCAATTAGCGGTGTCAATTGAACTATGAGTTGACCTACAAAATCACAAACTGTAAGGAAACACATGCATCGTCCTAAGAAAATTATTTTTTGTAATTTTGTCTTGTCGAAATTGAAACGGTTGGTGAAGGTAGGTGTAAAATTTCAACCAGAAAAATACGCGAACATCAATCTGTGAGTAATAAGTACGAATGAGATTCCCCGACATATTTGGATGAGTGACAAAGATATCAAAAAGCAATGAATACTAAACTGGATAATAAATCCGTAATCTTAAACTCAAAATTCTTTCCCTCGGCGAACCGTATGATTTCCAATCTGTTTTAAAACTTTATAATTGAATAATTTTTCAATAAAAACAAGCGAAGCACGCGAACTTGTACCGCCAGCTTCGAAACTTGATTGAAAAAGAAATCCAATACCCCAAAGCCAGCGTTCCGGAAAATTGTCGGTACCGGAGATGTTATTATCGGCAGATACTTACAATTTTACGATTGTTTTAATAAGTTCAATTGAATATCTTAATTCCGTCATCGCCGAGCCGTACGCGTTGCTCCCGTCTCATCAATTACCGATAACCATTAAAAGTAAAACTCCCCCAAACGACGCGCGGTCATAAAAAAATCGGTGCACATTTTCATAATCCGCATATTTCTCTTGCTCGGGGCAAAAAAGGCGAACGGAAGAACTACCGGCTTAATTTCAAAACAATTTAGAAAAGAAATTACTTCGAATCCATCTTCCTGCAGATTCAAATTACGCCCGGCCATTATCGAAACGGCTTTCTCTAGAAAAATAATTAAGGCGAAACCAATCGGTGTATACAAAACCTCTTAATTCACACTCTAACCCCATTTTTATGAGACCGGAAAAGCCGGAGGCTGCGAAAAATAGCTATTAGTTAGCGGCAGAACGAGCTGGGATAATGGCTTCTTTGACTTCTTAGATGGATTTTTTAATATAATAATTTCAATAATTTATACGCTCGTTGCCGAGCTCGATTTAAATTAGGCAATAACCTGGATTAAGACGAGCGTTTTTTCCCTTCTTTAGCGTGATATATTGAGATATTAATAAATACGCCGCCTCTAACAATAATTATTATTGCAGATTCTTCTACCGACAGTATCTTCTCGATTCGCCGTCGAACTGCTTAGGGCAAACTCTTCAAATACTCTTCTGGTGGTCGCCGGTGGAAGCGGCGTGCTCGTTCTCGAACTGCCCGAAAGATGTCCGCCGCACGGAAACTTCTCAAACAACAAGGAGATCGTGTATTGCAGGTAATGACGTATTTATTTCCCCATTTTTCATTAGTTTGCTGTGCAAACGGGGGCGCGTTAGAGACACCAAAGGGCAAAGTTAATTGCTTTAAAAGTATCGCAGCACCTGTCTAGAAATTTTCAAAGTTCCATTAGCTGTGTCATACAAATGGTGGTATATTATAGTCTACCCAAAATATATGCCGTTATAATTTAAACTTCTTAGCAATTTGGTCTTATTTATGTGTCACGTGCGTTATTTAAACGAATAAATGGGAATAGTTGAAGGGAATTCGGGACGAACGAATTTTAAAAAGAGGTCCTAACGTTAATTTTGGGATTTCGACGTCTGGAGATTCATAAAATTTTGTTCTTATTTTTTATGTGCAGATGCTTATATCACTTCTAACGATGTTACAAATTCGGTGTCGCTGTTAATCTCGCGCTATATTACTAAAGTTTGTTGAGAATACATTATACCTTCCCATCTTGGCTTCTAAAGTGGCATTATTTAAAGTTGCCTGCTATAGAAATATTTCGTAATTTATTATAACTAACCGTTTGCTTCTAATTGCAGTTTGGAAGTTGCCCGTGTATATAAGATTAGGCGCCTTGTTTTGTATTCTGCATTAATATTGTCCCCTAAATATTATCATAACGAAACTCGTGCTGTGTCACTAGTTGTTCTTTACTCGTAATACCTTTGTATTGAACGACATTGCTGCAATTCAGTCGATACCGTCCAAAGCTATAGATAAATTTTACTTGCCATGTCAATATCGCATACAGAATCAGGCATGAGCACTTGCCTTAAATTGGTGCCCCTTACCCCACTCGCTCGGATCCTATTTCTTCAGTTTACATTAACGTAATTTCAGCAAAGTTGAATGTTTGGATTCAATGTCATTTATCAAAATCTCCGGACGCTTGACTGACTGGGGAGTATTCCACACCCCCCGATTATACACATATACACGTACAACTATATCTATAACTAAATGAAGCAGACCTGCTTTTGACAGTATTTACTGATTTAAAGATATAATTCAGGTAACGTATAGATTTTGATGGAATACTTAAAATTAGCGCTTTATCGTACGTTTCCAAATTTTCTTATCATAAATTTACCCAAATTAGGTTTTGAATGTACCAAAGTAGATATACAAGGGCGCGCCACCATGCGGTGAACTTCGAAATTAGATCAATGTGAAGTTTACAAGTCACCTGCCTCGCGGCGAAGACCTTTACAGGTATGTCAAGGTGAGACAAGGACACTCGCCCCTACCTCCAAGCGCCCTTCTGGTGTTTGACCTTGGTACGTTTGTGACCTTGGTCAAGAAAAGTTCAAGGATCTCTCGTCTCCAAAGATCAATCACCCCATTTCGTTGCGGTGGTATGTTGTTATTTATTTATTCATGTTCATATTTCATCCGAAGTCATTTGTCATTCCATTTTTAAGGCCATCAGAGGTCAATTAGGTTTTATGTGTACAGCATCCACCTTTCCTGTAGTGGTCTAGGTCATTGGTTATTTTATAGATACCACCAGATGGATATTCAGTAATAATCTCACGGTGTTCTTTGTTTTTTTTAGCTTTATCAGTATTAAAAAATACCACAGAATACAAGACAGTGATTAGTATGGGAGCAGCTTCGAGTTAAGAATTGATATAAATAACTTGTAACTAAAGCGGGCAGGGCTGTCATTGAAAGTCGATCGTAAAGTTAGTAAAAATGTACACTGTTAATGAAGTCGAATCTCACAGTACGCAAGCTAATTTCTTTTCATTTAACATTCGTTAATTGAATTGAATGCAATATAAATATAATTCAGGAAACTTACGCGTGATCTAATTGCTCGAAATAAGTTTGATCAAATATGCGAGCAGCTAACGTAAATTATATTAAATTTGACTGAAAGGATTAATTATTTTCCTTTGGTTGCTTTCACTTGTATTTTAATTTTATCATTTCATGAAGGTAAATTGGAATATGGTCAGAATTGGGCCTTAAACTTTGGTTAGCGTTTCCGTGGCCAATCGGTCCCGAGTACTGTCACTTATACGTGCGTGCTGAGTCGAGGAAAAAGAAGTGAGTATAACCTCACTACATCTCAGTTCGCACTTACCGGGAAACATGGCATGCAAAGCACTGTGACATCGGGCCCAGAAGATGAAGAGGAGCCGGTTTAGGTGTAGAGGTGGTGGAAGTAGTGTAGAACTGTTTGGTAAGGCAGTTGGTAACAATACAAGCTATTCGTTGAGTAATTACTCAGAAACACCCGTGATAGAAACCAATAGTTTTGGAAGACCACGAGTTTGACCACAGGATGATCAGCTACGAAAAATGAGTTCATTTCCAAAATGGTAATTAGAGAATAAACCTATTTATCTCCTACCATGTCTTTAATTTACCTTGTCTCTGTGCTACTACTTTAAATAGAAGAGGTGGTAGACAACGATCACGTCGGAACATAAAATACTACAACGTAAGATCTTAGTATTGTCAACTAGTAAGTCAGGGAGATGAGTGAGATCCAGACTTTTTTTTACTGAAAGTGCAAACATTTACATTTGCTCAAACTACGAACTTAGAAAATCATTTCGTAGACAAGTGAATATTTTAATCAGAATTTTACGCGAGGAATTGCGTGGTCATGGCGAAACCGTACAAGTTCGTCTAGTCGTAATCAAACGCGAGCAATCAAAATGATAAAATTATAAAGTTGCGTTAACTGCGAATGAGAAACACGGTCGGTAGAAAATAAACAGGGTAAAATTAAAACCGTTATCGACGCAAAATCCAAATATAATAATTCAAAACAAGATATCGTTTAACCCCAATGGGGCATTAAAAATGTGAAAGAAGGAAAAATACACATTCAGCACGCTGGTCAACCCTGATAAAAAATCGACCATTTCGCATCGGGTATTTTATAAAGTATGCACAGAACCTTCGAAAGCAAATATTAAATTTAACCCCCCGATTATATCTATAGATATTTATTATCGCATTTAAATTTTATGATAGAGTGGGGTTAAAGCCAGAAACGGAAATGAATGAATGATTAAGAGAGTCGATAAGGGCGCGAGTGTACAGGTATTACTCGAAAACGTCGGCGGCTGATATATAATAAACAAAGTTAAAATATGCCCCTATTTCAGCCGAACCACAGCCACCTATATCTTATAATCAAACCTTCCCGCGGTTTATTATTTATTCATTAATTAATCTATGCCCCCACACTCTTCCTCTATCGGTTATCCTTTGCTCCTGCAGTTGAGCTATCGCCTCTGCCTTTGTCTTTTACGCCGCCTGCATCTTCCGTTGTAAATTGTAATAAGGGATGCTGCTCAAGTTTCCCACCGGGCCGTCGACTTTGCAATAATACATACAACACATACGCGCGGATAATTACTCGAAAAGCGTATAACAAATCAGGAAGAAAAGGGAAACTTGCCCGGGTTAGATAAATGAAAACAAGGATGCGGGGGACGGAGGATCGGGACACGTGTAACAACTAGTATCTGAATTATGAAGTTTCTCCACCACTGACGGCAGTAAACCGAGGTCCTAAAACACCTGAGGAATTCATTTGATGTTACGCAACGCTGTAAAAACTCAGGTCTAATGAAAAATTCGGCTGGCAATCACATGGCGTGTCGAAGTATTAAAATTTCCCAACTTTTATTGGTCTATTTTTATGGGCGAAACTTCAGATTGACTTCATTAAATGTTTGTTTAACGCCTTTTGTTAGATTGAGTTGAATTTTTGATAACTTTGTGATGCGATTTTTTACATCGTAAAACGTCGAATCTTTAACGAATAAAATATGAACGACAATATCGGACGTTATATGAGGTCGTTGATTTTTTTTCTTCATCTTGTTGGAGGACACATCCACACTTTCACTTTCAATCGTCCAACGCTGGCAGTAGACCTCAACAAATCTAATTATAGCGGGACTAATGGTGCCCTGGCAGATTCGCGCAGCGTTGAGAGAACCCAGAAGCTAAGGGGCACTACATGTATGAAGTGGTGTACCAAATTAAGCTACATAGATTTTTTGAACTCTTCGTATTTTAAGGAATTCAGAAATCTGTTTGCAGTGTTGTCAAAATTTTTCACGGGATTTCGATTTGCTCGATGATCCTTTTCCTGTGGAATTTGCTGAATTTAACCGCCGCTTCCCGTAGCCCTTGATAGCTTATCTCGCATGGTTCTCCTTCCTGCGATAGTACTGTCTCTTGTCTTGGACTTCTTCCAGAAGGAGGAGTAGCCTTCTGTCCTGGCGGCCTTTGTCTTCCACGATAATGCAACCCACTTCCGTATTTTGTAGGACGCATCGGACCGAATTATCATGTGGATTGGGTCAGAAACGTTGGAGAGAGTGTCGACTAAGTGCCCTAAGTGGGGGGGGGGGGGGGATCTCGACCTTGATTTTTCCTCGCACCGGGCCTGTACCAGTCAGCCCTACGCCAGATATCTCCACGGACCCCCCTTTTCTGCGGAGACCCAAGGGTTCAGGAGGTGGAGGGGGGTGTTAGGAATTAATTTTATCTTTCATGGTATTCTAATTGAAGGTCGCAACGAAAGGAACCGTTTTCCACCAACTACCGCCTCTCTTTCTCGCCCCTTATCAAATGATGAGGGAGGGGGGAGGGGGACGGGGTTACTGGTTCTATCCTTCACGGTACTCTAATGAAAGGTCTCAACGAAAGAAATTAATTTCTACCAACCATAGTCCTCCTCCTCGACCCCTTATCGTGATCGGATATATTCTCTTATATCTCCAGAACAGATTGTCGGAAGAGGGTACCACTCACAAAGCGCGATTGGGACGTCTAGAAGAAATATCTCCATTGGTGATAAGTTGATAACAAAACTTCAAGAGCGAATATCTCGGTTTGTCGGAGGAAAGTTTTCTCAAAGGCAAAATGAATCCATCGGAAGACACATATATACCACGTTGTTATAATGAATTTTTTGAATGAACCGAAAAAAATGCGCAGAACCGAACC